TACAGAGCCCATCCGCCTCCCCGCGGTCCCAGGGCGCCTGGGCAGGGGCGACCGCGCCCCCTCCTGGCGCCCTCCAGGGTTACAGCCCCCATGCGGAGGGAGGATGATGGGGCTTGTGGTCCAGCTGTGGAGAGCGGCGGGTGGGCGGGGCTGCCCGAAAGCGGCGCGAAACGGAAAAGGGAATAAAGTGACAGAAAATGAAAATAAAAACGTCAGTGAAACACTGCAATGCAGAGCGAAACGAAAGCAAAAACGTAAAACAAAATATACAGGATGACAGTGTAGATAAAAGAATACTAAAAAAAAAAGGTAAAAGAAACTATAAAGAGTGTAAATAAAAGAACGTAAAATAAAATAGAAAGGATAAGAGAGTAAACGAAAGACTGAAAGAAGGTAAAACAACACGTAAGGAATAAACATGCGTGCGAATTAAAATAAGATAAAAGGATAACAGTGTAAATAAAAGAACATAGAAGAAACGAAGCATAGCAAATATTAAAAAATAAAATAAAAATAAAGTAAATCTCTTTTAAAGCCGCCTAGGCGCCAGCCTCCCTCCTCAGGGCCTGAAATAACCCAAAGAAAGCCTTTTAACAGGGTCAGCGTTCGAAAAGGAGGTGTTGCCTTGGGACTACACAGCCCCATCATCCTGGGCCAGCTCTGGCGATACATGGGGAACCGTAGTCCAAGACGTGGGGGTCTCCAGAGGCCCAAACCGGGCAATTTTGGGGCCGAAGACCAGATAATACGCTAATCGAGAAGGAGCCAGCCGGGGTGGAGGAGCTAACTACAAGTCCCATCATCCCTGCCCTTTGGCCAGGTGTAACCCTTGCTTCCGGACATCGAAGCCTTGGGCTTTCTTGCAAATTACTACGAAATGGAGGGCGCTTTTATCGATGCAACAGAGCGAAGACACGTCGGAAACGAACATTTATTTCAGCAGAATTTCACCATTTTCGGTCTACTTTATTCTGGATTTGCACAAGACACCGTAGGGACACCGTTACAAAAAAATAGAAAATAAAACCTAAAACTGGACATCTGGGGAAATGCCCCAAGGCGGGGAGACCCCCCTCCCCGACGAAGCCTCCGTGGGGTTTCCACCCTCTAGGCGTTATAGGACGAAGACGAGACGGTGCCCCCGTGCCCGGTCCAATTGGTGTGGATGAATTCGCCCGGTTTTGACAACAATTCGTAGGTGTGGGCACCGAAATAATCCCGCTGGGCCTAGGAGAGAGAACGCACAACATTTTGGGTCAGCAACTTGAGGTTTAGGAGTTTGTGACTAAAGAGCTAACATTAGCTGGGATTGCATTCACACAACCACGGTGCCAAGCCAAACAGGGTGGCTTCCAAACAGGGGGGATTTCCATTCCCAGAATCCTTAGCTGGCTGGAGAATTCTGGGAATTGAAGTCCATGCCTCTGGAGAACGCTCTCTGGCTTATGCACTTTCCCCGACGGGGTGCTAGACCGACTGTGCTATTGTGGCTTGTACAACAAGCAATGGCTAAGAGCGAGCGTGAGGCGGGAATCTAAGCAAGGTGTTCAAATTGCAAGGGGTCTTTACCATTTTTCCCCCTTTTCTTCAGGATAAGAAGAAGACCCCAAAGACACGTTGCAAACAAGGAAAACGGAACTTCCCCAAATCTGGCCACACTTTTAGTTAGAATCAGAATTAAGCTGGGATTCAGCTGCAAACAAGCTGGGGGTTTCAGGGAGGAAAAGCGAGCGGGCAGAAGCGGGAATAAGGCATCGATTGAGTCACCCATTGGGGGAGATGGGCGGCGTACAAATTGAATAATAAATAAATAAAATAAAAATCAAGGCCGGGTGAGTTTCAGATCGGCCTCCGTTCATAAGTTACTTACCTGAATCAGGTTAGCGGGTAAAGTGCCATGTCTGTACCCATCATAAAATGCCAGCGCGGTGGTGAAGCAGGGCATCGGGATCCCCAGCTGGACGCCAGTGCTGATTGTACGTCGCCACGAATCCTTGGGAAAAGACAGAGGCGGAGAAAAATTAATTTTCTGGGCAAGATTATTTGTCCATCTAGGACAGTGTTTCTCAGTCTCTGCAACTTTAAGATGGGTGGACTTCAAGTCCCAGAATTCCCCAGCCAGCGTG